TCTATTTCCGGGTTTGCTTGGTAAGTGAGTTCGTTTAAAGAACGGGTTTTTACCATATACTCATGTAAGCTCAGGAAATAGAAAAGCAAGAACTTTATACTTTATTTATTTTTCTTGAAATAAAAATAAAAAGAAAAATTATTGCCTTTCCCTGGCAATGGCGCCAAATGTGACGAGCACTTTGTTGTAGTGTGCCTCAAAATAATATTCTATACAATGATTATATGTAGTATAACGAAGTAAGGTTCGTATCCACAGGGAAATGAATACATCTCCTTTTATGTAACTAGTAACAAGGGGGGTTTTGAAGTTGTTGTGGAACTTGAAGTATATTTAAACACTAAGTTGAACGTCTTATGTGGTTTAATTAATTAGAGATGAAGACTTGGTTTTGCTTATATCCACTTAATGAAATGTTCGTCGTTCCCAGTTATATCTTTAACTATCTTCCTCTCGAATACTCAATCGAGGAGTATCTCCATTTCATCGAGGGTAGTTATTAATAATGAGACGCGTTTATTAATAAAACTTACTACCGAGTCAATATAGAATACGCGCCATATATTAACCCGATAGTAGCAATAAACTTAATGAAAACGATTGAGATTGATAACCTCAACACAAGCGGTTTATTGGTGTAATCAATATAATTAATTCCCCTTGGATTATTAACCATTAGACACATGCATTAATAATCCAAGTTTACTACCGTGAAAGGACCGAACGAATAACAAGCGTATTCGTCGACCGATTCTAGTAATAATTAATATATGAAACAAAACTAGTTGATCCTTTAAGTAATGTTCAAAATATTAATATGAAATATGAATAGGAATTAATTAATATTCGAGGAAGAAGAGTAAAGATAAAAACTCACAACTTACAATTCATTAAGCTTCAACGTAGCAAAACCAAGATGGAAGAGTTTAGCTCCTCGTTTGGAGACTAAACATGATAAAAAAATATAAAGAAATTACTTAACTAGTGTGAGCTTAGAAATGTATAAGAATTGGTGTTTTTCAATGTGGAGGAAAGGAGTGTATTTATAGGCAAAATGGGGCAGCAGGGTCGTGTACCCGACTGGGTCCATATAGGGTACCCGATCGGGTACCTTCAGAAATCATCCTCAAACTACAAATTGCAGACATACCCAATCGGGTGTGTCGGTGTACCCGATCGGGTATGACCATTGATCGTGGTAAAATATCCTCATGCACGTTCCCTTGTTCCCGGATTTGATCTTATTCGAAAATCAGGTTGGTACCCAATCTGGTATAGCTCATATATACTTGATCGGGTACAGGCCAAAATCCTGATCTTCTCTTTCTGTTTTGAGTTTTTGCACCTTCCTTCCTCTATTGGGGTTTACCAATGATCTCTTGATTGACCTGGGACTTGTTTGAGCTCAGAATAGACCTAATCTAAATAAATTACAAAAAATTTACAAACTGAAGTATTACACCAAAAGCGTGTAATTTCCAAAGTAACAAACAACAAAACTAACTAAAAACACAAACATACACATGAAAATTACAAGGGTATCAAATAACCACAGTTGTCCTCATTACATTGTACAAGACGTTCGAAAGATTCATTCACCAATCTAGACAGTAAACACTAGGGGTGCAAATTAGTCGAGTCGCTCGTGAGCCGCTCGGTCAAAGCTCAAATCGGATTCGGTCAGAATTGAGCTCGAGCCGAGCTTGAGCCGGCTCGTTAAGCAAACGAGCCAAAAACGAGTCAACTAATTTTAGGCTTGCGGGTCTAGTTTTAAATGTGCGTATATTTATATTAATATACAATATAAATTAATATATATGTATATATATTAGTATATATAATATATATGAGATATTATATTAAAAGCACAACTGGTTGAAGACTTTTGAATTGAAATTATATTTTGTTTATTTAACTCTAGTTTCAGTTTAAGCTTCGTGATTTGACTACTTTTGGTTTATTTTGGACAACATTTACTCTTTTTTAGTTGTTAGGCATGTAAATTGCAATTTGCAAATGTTAAGCACAAATATTCACAGATTGTTTCATACTTGAGCTCGAGTTTGAACTCGAGCTCTTGAGCTAATCGAACCCGTGACTTTTGAGTTAGCGGCGTACAAAAACTATCGAGCCAATCAAACTGAATCGAGTCATCTAAATATTTGCGAGTCGAACTCGAGCTCCGATTTTTTAAGCTCATTCGAGCTAAGCTCGAGCTCGAGCCAATACAATATATTTCGAGCTCAAGCTCGAACCTACATAGATTCGGGCTCGGCTCAACTCATTTGCACCCCTAGTAAACACATATAAGCAACATCAATATTTGGTATTGAACAAAGTGTGGAATACAATTGTTTGATAACGGCCACACGTGGCAATCACGAGCACGAAGGCTCCAAAATGTTTGCAAAACTAAATTTAGAAATATCCATGAGCAATTACATTTTTGTTTGGAACAGGAACATGAAGCACGAACGACGTCGTTCGTGAGGTGATCACCGGAACAATGGTGCAGGAAACAGACTCTAGTCTCAACCTGAAAAATAGTGAGGGTCCCCAAAGGGGTCAATACTCCACAACAAGAAGTACTAGTGGCATGCAGGCTTTATGATCAATAACTAGTGCTTCAAGTATACGACTTAAACATAGAGTGATACATACATATAGAGGCGTAGCCTACACTACCCCAACCACAAGATTATACACATATCATATACTTGTAAAATATCTGACCCACAGGTCATTTGTTTTAATCAAAACAATTATAAGGGTTTAATCCTCAGACCCTCATCCTTTCCCTTAAACCCCAGATATCTAGCCTGATGGCTCTGTCCTATATTCGCACCTATTGAGTGTTAAGTAGGACGCTCCTGGTTCTGAGTTTGACTAACCCATACTAGAAATATTAAGTTGGACATTCGTGGTCCTGGGTTTGACTAACCCATACTAAAAATATTAAGTTGGACATTCCTGGTTCTTGGTTTGACTAGCCCATACTAGAAATATTAAGCTGAACGTCCTTGGTCATGGGTTGGACTATCCCATACTAGAAATATTAAGTTGGACGTGCCTGGTCCTGAGTTTGACTAGCCCATACTAGAAATATTAAGTTGGACGTTCTTGATCCTGGGTTTGACTAGCTCATACTAGAAATATTAAGATGGATGCTCCTGGTCCTGTGGTACTCACCCATCCCTATTCTATCATACATTATGTCTAAGTATGACTAGCAATAGTATTTAACTCCATCGGTCCCTCCCGGGTTAGGTAATAATTTACCAAGGACCCTACGTGCCCACACCAAGGCTAAACTACCGGCCTACGTGCAATTAGACCTTTGAATTGGGCTTTAGGAGTCCCCCATTAGTTAATTGGGTCATCACTTGAACATTCAGGTAGCACATGGTACCTGGGTCTGGGTTCTCAAGTCCCAAACTTGAGTGGCAATCTCGAGGGACAAACATCACGGGCACCAAGAACTCGGGCGAAGATCACGGGTGACAAACTCGAATGAAGATCACGGGTGATGATCTCGAGTGAAGATCGCGGGTGACACTCTAAACAAGAGATCACGGGTGACACTCTAAATAAAAGGTCACAGGTGGGAGACTTATACCATTGATGTGAGACATATCTTATATCTCATTTGGATGGAATTGATGAGCTAGCTAAAAAACGGTGGAGACTATGAGACATTTGAACTACACTTCAATGCTTTTGCTTCTAGAACTAGTTTTGATTTTACCGATTGCGACGACAAGTGTAGAAAGAGCGTTTTCTGTGACTAAGATAATTAAAAGCTCATTGCATAATCGTATGAGCTGAGTGATGATATGTTAAGTGATTGGTTAGTGCCACATTTTGAAAGGACATCTTTGACCATGTGCTGAATCAAAAGATTTCACAATGATTTCAAAATATGAGAGAACATCGACAAATAATGATGTACGTTTGTTTACTTTTATAATTCTTTATGTTTTTTAACAAATTTCTGTTCTTGGAACTTCTTTGTGTTCAAATTACTATATTTTTTTTTTAATATGGTGGGCCTTTAGTTTCTGACGCCCCTAAAAACAAATTCATGGCTCCACCCCTGGGTGGCGTCCTATTTGTTGATCCAGAGCAATTGCTGCAAATGATCAGATATCAATTAAGATTTTATTTAGTATTGGCACAAACTAGCTTCCATCTCTAGACACCTCATCTACCTGGTGGTGGTGGTTCAGTTGGGGGATGGTCATCGGTGAAATCATAGATGAGATGGGCACATGGTGATTTTTTTGTGAAAGTTGATCCAAAAGTTGAAGGAATATCATCTGCAGTTGAGTAGAAGTATAAAAACAATTCATATACAATCAACCACTTAATCCTTTGATCGCTACATGCACTCCAAGTCTCCAATGCAGCGAAGAGTTGGACTTGGGATACACACTTTTTGGTGTACATGCACACTTTTACACATTGTCTTTGTAGGCTTTTTTGTATGTACAGAAAAAACGTATTTTGACAAAATACGTTTTGTCTGTACAAATAAAAAAGCTTACACAGACAGTGTGTAAAAGTGTGTACCAAGAGTATCTTTGTGCAGCGAAACACCAAAATAATAATTGATGTTGTTTGTCATTTCAAAAGTTGAAAATGGTGCACAAAGCTCTAGATAAAATGGCTAATTTGAGTTTGCACCTTATGTTATTGTCCAAATTGGACTTTGTACCCTGTTTTTAAAATTCTTTGTACTTGCACTCCAATCCCGTATGAAAAGACAAAAATGCCTCTTCATTAACAATTCGATTGACTTTCAACATATTCCTGATCGAGGAGCACTTTTGTCTTCTCATACAGGGTTTGGGTGCAAATTAAATACAAAAATAAAATAAAAAAACGGGGTGCAATGTCCAATTTGGACAATAAAATGGGTTGCAACTGCAAACTCAAATTACCCCTAGATAAAATGCCTAACTTCGTAGGTAATTATGGTCATTGACTGCCCCAAAATTAACCCTAGATGTACACCTGCTAGACTCTGTCGCTAGATAACGCGATTGCATCTTAAAATAAACACTATTGTACAAAAATATCAACACTTAAATACCAAAGTTGACTAGTACGTATCACATAAATACCAAATTAAGCTTTCACAACATTATTGGATCTCCACAAACAAAGTAACGAAGTAAAACGAACTATAGTATGTGGGAAACAAAAAGAAAATTGAGATTTATGACTTTCAAAATCAATTTATTGATGGTCCAAATTTAATTTTTTTTGGCATAGAATTTTTGGGAGCAAGAATGACAAGTAATTTCCATGCATGTAGAATCGATCTTCAACGTCGCTCTCTCTTGGAGCTGCTCGGCCTTCATCACCTCCTCACGCGCCCTTTCCCAAATGCTCCTTGCACGCGCGAATTCCGACTGCGCCATCTCTATCTCCCGCCTCGTCAACTCCCTCACGCGCTCCGCGTAGGCTTTCTCCATGGCCGCCAGCCGAATTTGCTCAGCCGCCTGCCACCTCAGCGCCTCCAAGTACCCGACGTCGAAAGTCACGGCGTCCTTGTTGTATGCCTTCTCCGGCGGTGGTTTCATCAACGGCCTGACGCTTATTGACAGCTGCAGGTCTAAAGACGGGCCCTCGAACGCGTCGATGGACGGTCGAGATTTCATCAGTCCCAGTGATTCGGAGTGCCAGGGCTGCGCGTGGTACGTCGAGGCGGCAGCAGTTTTAGTAGCGGCGGCCGGCAGCAGCTGGAAGTGTCGTACCTCTCTTTGTGGTTCATCTTCCATTTGTTACTGTAGCTAACTGCGAGTCTCCCTAGCTAATTACAAGATCAGATTTAAAATTAGAAATTGCCGTAAATATACAATAAAGACGTTTTGAAATTCCAAAATATGTCACTTCTCATTTTAAATTTCCAGAATCTGAACATTTTAAATTTTTTTAATAAGGAATAAAATACCGGAAAAGATGTTGCTGATGTCGGAATTTTCTACCGGAAAGTGTACTTTTCGGTGAAAAGACCTTTAAATTGCAAAGATTTATTAGTTATAGGACCAAATTTGCAAGCGATTAAAGTTTTAGGAACAACAATACGATAACAAACGAAAATTACATGACTAAAATTACAAATTTCACTATAAAAATAGAAGTGTTGGTATTGAATTGGCAACTAGTCAAAAAGATAAATCTCGATTAGAAAAGTAAAAAAAATATGGTGATCGGCTACCAACGAAACACCCCTAAACGAGTTTGATGTTTCCCTTGGCCTAAATCCTAAAATAGTTTTTGTTAAGATTTGGAGTTTCATCTTAGTCAACCTGATAGGGGGAGTAGCTCAAGACTTTATATGTTGGTTTGTATTTCTATACGCAACCAGTGTTATACATCTTAATAAGTTTTGTCATATTTTAGTAATTGCAAAGTGAAAACTAAATACGGAGTAGAAAGGAAGGAAAAGAAATCACCATTATCTATTCTCCCATTTAATTACTCACCACTACTGAATGATAGTAGGACAATTTTATCCCATAATGGATACGTAGTATTATCCCATTTAATTACTCACCACTACTGAAGGATAGTAGGACAATTTTATCCCATAATGGATACGTAGTATTATCCAAAAAAGTATAACCAAAACGTCGTACATATCACTCTAAGTGGTGTCATATACTACTCCGTATAATGAATGTTTTCACTCCAATCTAACACTCTCGATCTGGTCCTAAAATTAAATGTGTAGGTAAATGTAACAATAATAATAAAATTCCAGTTCACAATTCCTATTATATTGCTTGCTAAATCATCAAGTGTGAATACTTTCATGAACACATATTAAAAATTGGGATAGATGCATCATTTTTGGATCAACAATTATTATTATGTAAATTTGTTAAATAATCAATGTGACATGTGATTAGAATTCGGCTGTATTTTACTACTGGACTATCATTCAAATCCTTCTTTAAACTAATTAAAAGATAACTAACTCTCATAAAGAAAATATATTTAAAATACAAATGAATGTATCTTTTTCCGTCAATGGTAGTATCTCATAAATCCATTCAATCAACGTGATATTTAGCATAAACTTAATCATATTCAGTGTAAAATTGTTAAGACATGGGGTTCCATCCTAAAATGTCAACCTGATAGGAGGAGTAGCCCGTGTGTTAATATAGCACTTTGTTCATCCAAATGTTTCTGGTGTAGGACATTTTAACACCCCTCCTCACGACCGGACACTTCGTCTGGATCGTGCAATCATTCTTTATTTTTCATCGGTCCATTTTTTTTTATCATCCGGCCGTTTTTTATAATCGTGTCATCACTTTTCATAAGGGCGCCAACACCATGGATCGATTTTGCTCTGATACCATGTTAAGACATGAGATTCCATCCTAAAAGGTCAACCTGATAGGAGGAGTAGCCCGTGTGTTAATATAGCACTTTGTTCATCCAAATGTTTCCGGTGTGGGACATTTTAACAAAAATGATGTTGTTCTAAATTGCTTTTAAACAACTCTAGCTCAAAATGATGTTGTTTGAGTTTAGGGTTTAAATAATACTCGTAATAATTATAATACTCCGTAGTAGTATGTACTGTTTTATTCCTTTTTTAAGGAACTGTATTTTTTCAAAAGCTTTAATAACATTTAAGTCCAAACACTTATATAAGAAATTATACTAATAATCATTATACGGAGTATATGTTAACAGCCTAAGACCTTAGTATTGATAATATATACTGTACTTTGTATTATTCGGGATATAAATTTAAGATGTCACTATTAAACATGAATACGTACTCTTTTTTAGAACGGGAAACAGAACGCCTTTCCTTACACCTCTAGGTCTTTGGGTTGGTTTGCAAACGTTTTAAAAAAGTATTTTTCAGCTTTTGGTTTTAAAAAAGCACTTAATTTACCAAACAATACAATTTCTATTTTTCTCGGCTTTCGTGTCAAAAGTGCTTTTACTTTTTCTATTATACAAAAAACACTTATTTTACCAAACACTACCAACTTTTACTTTTCAAAATCATTTTTTTTCTCAAACACTATCAACTTTTATTTAATCACTTCTCTCTATTTCATTAAAAAAAGCACTTTTTAAAAAGCGGAAATTGTTGCAAACGTACCCTAGTGTCTTACGTACAGTGGTCGGTCACAAGTCATGACTTCATCTATGGTCGATCTATCCTTGAATTGGATGGTACCAAATCATGTAAAATGGGGAAGCAACCTTTTCCCCTTGTAAAGGTGCCTTTTTTGCCATTTCCCCTTTTTTAAAGGTGCCCTTTTCCGATCCCCATTTCCCTTTTTAAAGGTGGTGCCTCTTTAATTTTGCCATTTTCATGCACCTTCGGAATAATTTTCACTAGTTACTACATAAAACGTGTTATGTACTTATGTTATATGGTGATCAGGCGATGGAGCATTTTATATCACGTTTCCTCCCTGAAGATTTACCTCTAGGTACATTTCAAAAAATGAAAATGACATTTCATATATATATATATATATGAGCATTTTATATCACGTAGTACTTAAGAAAAATGTCAAAATAATTACCATTAAATAAATATTACTAGTACGTAGTATATGATTGAGAGCATTCTTTTTTCTTTTTATTCAACGTTGAACTTTTTGAAAAAGAACAATTGTATGTAGGTGCTTATTATTTAGAAATTTAGAAAACGCGGAATTGAAGTAGTGATTAAACAATCAACTTTCTTTTTATCAAAATACTATTTATAGTCAATAATGTTCGATAAAGGCATAACGATATTGTATAATTAATGTGTAGCATATATAACACATTATATACACCAAACACGTACTACACATCAAGAAATATAAACGTGTATGAGTCTGTGTTATGCTAATCACGACCTGTCAAATAAATACCAAATTTATATGTATTACAAAAAGGATTAATTTGGAATTTTTCAAATACTCCATCAAATAGATCAGAGGTTACATCTTAAAATGAATTTGCTTTTTGAAGAGAACGGAAATAGACTCTTTATCAAATCAAACTACTAATATATATAAGAGCCGTAATCAGACAATTAAGTTTGAGACCCTTAGTTAATGAGTGTATCGTATCTTTAAGATATTAATTAATTAATTAATTAATAATCACGTTTTTTTGGGAACAATAATCACATATTTGAACACAGCATCTACATCTTTTAGATAGATACGCCAAACACTTCGGGTTTGTTTGGTATTCGGCGTCTCAGATGTTTGGTATTCGGCGTCTCAGATTGAGATTTGCTGGTCTGGTCTGGTTTAGTCTGGTCTGAACTGGTCTGGTCTGGTCTGGTCTGGTAAACGTCTGGTCTCTATGTATTTTATAACTACGGAAGTCTGGTCTGGTCTGGTCTGTTTAAGTTTGGTCTGGTTTGGGACTGAAAACAGTCCAAAAAAACATCCGAAAACGCCATGTTTTTAAACCACTAAACGCTGATCATTCCAGCGTTTCATGAAAATATATAAAGATCCGTTTTTAGGACATGTCATAATTTATTTAAAACTAAAACACAAGTTCACAAATCACAAGAAAAAACATGTTTACTATACGATAAGTGGTTTGTTAAATTTCAGTAGTTATGGAGTGCAATTGTTCCATATTTATTCGACTCATAATGGTCATCGAACTATTGGATATTCAAAAATTGATACTACCTCCGTAACATTTATATATTTCCATTGGCTTGTTAAATTTCAGTAGTTATGGAGTGCAATTGTTCCATACTTATTTATTCGACTCATAATGGTCATCCAACTATTGGATATTCAAAAATTGATACTACCTCCGTAACATTTATATATTTCCATTTGGAAGTAGATGATATTATAAATTGTGAAAGATATATGATATACCGATAGTAAATTATTGAAGGTATGATGAGAAAATAATGAAATAGTGTGCTAGAATGAAGGAAAAGCCCAAAAAATAATACTCCGTAAGTTGTAATACTACACAGATTATGATCAAATTATTTATAGTTTGAGGATATGATGAGAAGAATTTAAAAATGAAAACATAATGTTATGGTTGAAGAGGGAAATTGAAAAGATATGAATGTTATGTAAGAAACTTTCGACGTTTAATAATTGGAAACAACATACGGGTGTACACACACAAAAAATATTAGGGCTGGACAAACTCATGCTTAAAACGCGAAAAATTTCTATCCTCCCCTCTTACGCCACTGAATCCACGGTATTTTGATATTTCAATGACTAAATATAGTCTTGTCTATATTTCATAGGGATGAAAATTGGAGTTAAAAATTCAAACTATATTATGGGTAGTATATATTTTTCATAAATAAGAGCAACTTACTTTGAAATTTTATTGTTATATTTTGGTGTTACCGAATTTTAATATATCAATATTAAATAAGATATTAATTACTCAAATTTAGAGAATAAAATCACAATACTCATGTTTTGGAATTCCTCATTGTTTTTGCTTATGTTTAGGACAATTTGTTTATTTTATACTAGTATAGTTTTGAAATGATTTCTTATATATTTTTTATATGCGTATACATGTAACATGATTTTTTAGGAATCAACCAATTTTTTTACCAACACATTTAACTTTTGATTTCACGCGCAAAATTGTGTAATAATCAAAACAAGTAAGATTGGAGTTACTTATTTGACTGGATTGATTGAAGTTACCGTAGAGGATCATTTTAGCTATTTTCATATAAATTTTTCTTTATTTTATTAATAAAATAAAGGGAAAATCTCATTTTCACTCCCCCAAATAGTGCCGATATTGAAATGTAACCGATGCATTCTCAAGTGTGTAAATGTCACCTCTCAATCGCCCAGATGCGTGTAAATGTCACCCATCAAAGGACTACATTTACTACAATTTTGACAATTGAGAGTGACATTTACGAACTTGAAAACGCAAATCCTACAATTCAATATGCATACCGTTTGAGGACTAAAAGTGTGATTTTAATTTCTCTATAATAAATAATAAATACTACATTTTTTTTCTTAATTCAAACACTTTAACCGAAACTTCAAAATTTGAATGTTACCAAACGTCTGAATCTCCAAAGTTAATGATAAGTCCAAATATTATGAGCCCTTTCGGTGACTCTGTTTTTTGACTTATTAGTCAAGTTTTTAACCAAACACATAACTTTTGCTTTCGAGTGCTGAATTGTGTAATAGTAAAAAAAGTAAGGTTGAAGTTACTTTTGTGACTATATTGGCTGAAATTGTTGTAGATGACCATTTTAACTATTTTTTCTTATAATTTTTTCTTTATTTTATGTCTAAAATATATTTTAAATATTTTTTTTCCGTAAATGATTTGAATCAGCTAAAAATTCAACCAATCTTAGTCTTAGCAAAGTGACTCTATCTATGCAGCGACACCTAGGCCTAGCTGCTATACAGCTAGCCATTCATAATTATTTATATTCATATCTAATTTTGTGAAGCTAGAAATTGACATATAGGAATCGATCTTCCAATTCTGCTATAATATAATAATATAAACGAATTACTACTATACGTACGTCGGAGTATATAGTTAATCAATTAACATCCAAAAATAACTTACGTAATTAATAATAAACCCCATCTAACGGATAAAGTTGAATTTAATTAAGTGAATCATAAATGTCCTCACGAAAAAAACTAAAGGATGATATTAGCACCCGCGTGTTTCATGAAAGAATCATATCAATATCCAAGAATTAGCATGTTTTCATTTGGACTGTTTTTAGACAAGACCAGATTAGCCCAGATCAGACCAGACCAAACTTCCGTAGTTATACACAGAAACCAGACGTTTATCAGACCAGACCAGATCAGACGAGATCAGCAATTTTCAGTAAAAAAGAAAACATTGTAAATAATATCAAAAGTGCGTAATGAAGATTGATGGATGAAGAATTGAAGCTAATCAACAAGTACCTTAATTGTAGAGCTAGCTTAGGTAGATTGAGCGAATGGGATGAAAGATGTAGCAAGGCAGAGAGAGTAGCAAGCTTTATTTGTTGGATGTTCAATCAATATATTCTTCCTTAATTATACATAGCAATTCTTGCACCACTCCATTAATACATTACCACTTCTAGACACTACCGGCCGGCCAGCTCGAGGAGTGGAGATTGATGAAAAGCTAGGAATGTAATCAATAAATCCGGGCACTATATATATGTATGAATAATATACGAGTATGTATGTACGTATGAATGATAAACTAGCCCGCTAGAGTTTTTAATTTATTTTGAGTACGTAACGTACGTGAAAGTTAGCGAAGAAAAAAAGAGGATCGGAGTAAGGTAACGTACAGATGGAAGAGCGCAGGGAGATGCAACAAAGGGAAAATGACAGTTAAAGTAAGACGAAAGGATCAGATAATGCAACAATGGGAAAATGACACTTTAAAGTGTTCCATCATTGGGGCAGCCACAGCATATAGCTAGCTAGCATCAGCTGCTACCCACCCAGCACTCTACTATCTGTTAGCTAGCACCAATCCCAGATACTATACTTACATATAGACAAATTAGGATTCCGCCTCATAGCCTCGAGAGATTTCATTTAGTAATGCTGAAATTGGTTAGCTTCTGCTGAAAATCATAAAGTTGGTTAGCTTCTGCTGAAAATCATAAAGTTTCGATTGAAGCGATTGAATTATATTGAGTGATTCGATCTGCTGTTTTATGAAAAGTTATATTTGAGTTATACTCCGTAACTTTTATTAATAGAAGTTATTTTCTTGTAACTCTCATGACGTTTGATACTCCCTCCGTCCCATAATTATCTTCATTCTTTCCTTTTTGGTCCGTCCCAAATTTATCTCATCTTTCCTTTTTTAGCAAAGGATTTGTGGTTCACAACCATTCTTACACATTTCTCTCTCCTCTGCACAACTCTCCACCACACATTTCCCACTTTCTTAATCTCCGTGCCCAGTCAAAACCGAAGTTAATTCTGGGACGGAGGGAGTAATATTTATGTAAAAATCTCATAAAATAAGGAAAAAACTATATACACTCCATCCGTCCCTTAAAACTTTGCCAAGTTTGACCGACGCGAGAATTAATGGAGTAAAAATTGTATGGTTGATTATTATGCAGAAGAGAGAGAATTAACTGAAACCATAAATTATTTACTTAAAAGAGAATATGACAAAGTTAGTTAGACATCCAAAAAAGGAAAGTTCACAAAGTTTTAAGGGGACGGATGAAGTATGAAAAACATTTAAAATGATTCTTTACAGTAACTTCAGCCAATATAATACAGCCAGAAAAGTAACTTCAATATAATCTTATTTTTTCTTATTATTACAGAATTGAACGAACAACATAAAAAGTTACATGTTTACTCAAAAATTAAAGTTGGTTGATAAGTAAGTCGAAAAGCAAAATTATCAAAGAGGCTCTAGCTCCATCTCATAACACTGGATCTGATGGAATTGGTAAGATCGACTAGGAATAAAATGGCTTAACTGCTAAATTATAAGAAAATTATATTTAAAAAATACTAAACTTCACTAATAAAATAAATAAAAAGTACGTGATATGGAGTACTCCATGATGTAGTTAAAATAGTCTTTTTCAGTAATGTCATCAATTTCTTTCATTAAACAAAATCCAACCTTACTCATTTTTATTACTTCGTATAAGTGTTCTAAAAGGAGAAATTAGGCTCAACATTTGTAATGTATTTTAATTTGGACATTTATTTATTTTCTTCGATCACTAAAATGCCTATTCTCATCTAGGCTTCAAAGGATTGAGGCTTGACCTACGTCTTGTCAAACGATCAATGCCCGTATCATAGAATTTAATTTGTGAAATCAAAAGTTACATTTTTAATAAAAACGAGTTGATAATGTATAAAGGTAATAAGTCAAAAATGTGATTATGAAATGAGGTATATGTAACTTCATTCAAGCTAACTAATAACATACTACGTATTGTATATAATAAATAACATATACATAAATAAATACTACTTTTAATCTTATGTTTGGATTGAAATGATTGTTTGGCATGCTAGCAAATAATGCTCCCTCCGTATCGCAAACAAAGTCACACTTTTCTCTTTTGGATGTTACAGAAACAAAGTCACACTTCTCTTATTTCTTTATTTGGCAAAGAAATCTACTTCAAAACAGTTCCAAACAGTTTCAAACAGTGCCAAATAGTGTCTAAACCTATGAAGCACGGATACTTCCCTAGGGTAGCGTATCGGCGTATCCGATACGTTCCCGTATCCGATACTCTAGGATACCCGTACCGTACGTTCCCGGGCCGTATCTGCAATTTTTTAAAAGTTTCCATTTTTTTTTGTAATTTTTTGAAAGTTTCTGATACTCGTATCCTAACGGATACCCGTATCAACTTTTTAAAAAAAATCCCAAAATTTACTTAATAAAATTCTAAAAAAAATGAAAATCTAAAACTACATTTTACTTGGTAATCAAATAATGGGCCTATAATCCTATATGGCTATATCCGAATTAAGTCATTAACTCATACTCCGAATTGGGTACTTGCACTTTTAATTTCAAGATTGTAGTTGTTTGACTTATTTCTCATTTTAAATTAATGACTTATTGACTACATTTATATTTCGAGATGCACTAGTGTATATGAGAAATATTATGAATTTATTACTAAGTATCTTGAAAAAGGAAAATGCTTCAATGCAATATATGGGTAGACATCATAGGATATTATATTTGTGTGTGTGTGTGTGTGTGTATATATATATATATATATATATATATATATATATATATATATATATATATATATATTAAAAAAAAAATCTATTTTTAATATTTATAAATAGACCCCTATAACTTTTAATATTTGTAAATACACCCCCATAACTTTTAATATTTATAAATATGGCCCCGTATTCGTATCCTACTTTTTTTTTTGTTTTGACGTATCCCCGTACCCGTTTCCGCGTTTCCGCGTACCGGTATCGGTGCTACATAGGTCTAAACAATGTCAAACAGTGTCGAAACAGTGCCAAATAGTAAAATTTACCCCTCAGTAACTTTATTTCCTTAATATGTGTGAAAGTCAATCCGAGAACATCTTCTTGAGACGGAGGGAGTATATAACGGTCCACACACTCTTATACAGCAAATTAATTTATTGTTGTCAAATAATACGGAGTAAATAGCAAATTAAATTACATTGCACTAATATAGGAGTATTGTTTAATGTATATTGAATAAATCCCACCTTTGATGCTATGAGTATCGCATCAATTCTATAATTATTTACGTCTTTTACCACTTTTGTTATATGACTATTGTTTGTACACGGAATTATGCACTTTATTACCAATTGTTAAATGCCATGAGCATCGGCCTATCACATCACTTTTGAAAAAACTACGCATGTACACGAATTTTGTACACATTTTGTGTACACACGCTTAGTTGGCTTGTGTACACATGCAGCTTCTAGACGAGCTACCTGTGTACACAGACAAGCTAGGGGGTGTGTACGTAAAATGTGTACAAATTTCGTGTAAAAGTGTAGATTTTTCATATTTTAAATATTTCTCAAATAAAAAAATATGGTGGCCATTCCCACAACCTCGGTCAGTGCCCAACAATGCTACATCTGACCGGCTAAAAAATGCCATTTTGGATAAAAATTACGGAGTATCATTTTTTCTCTGAAAATGTCGTATAGATGACACTTTTACTCTTTGAAATGTTAAAATTTTCTCGAAAACTGCAATCAAGATGGCATTTGTAACACATGTTGTCATTTTGTGCATATTTTTTTTTTTTTTTATTTTTTTATTTTCTTTTTTTAATTTTTTAAGTTTTTTGTTTTATAATTTTTTTTTGTTTATCGAATTGTTTTATTAATTTTATTTAAAATTTATTTCGTGTTTTTATGTTTTCTACATTTATATTATATATAAAGTAATGCTATTAGTTTTGTAATTATTAATGAAATATGAATTGTATTAAAACAAAGCAAGAGTAGAATTGAAAAGGTAGTCCTATTTAGAAAATTTTTAAGTTATGGCCTTATTTTGGCAATTAAAGTTTCATTTAGCTCTATTATTCCAAAGTAGAACTAAACATTAGCACAAAATTCAACAATACGATTATAATCCTTTTATTCGCAAAATATGACTAATATACATCTTTCTTCCTATTCTACCCCATTTCTATGATTTCTAATAGATTTATTTTATTAATAAGAAAATCATAGTTGTATTTATAATAAAAATATTAAAAATATTTATAAGTTAATAATAAAATGGTAAAATAAAATAAAAATTTAAAAACATAATACTAGTAATAAGTTTTAAAAAACATTAAAAAAACTAAAAACAAAATAAAATACCTAAAATTATTAAAATATGTAGGTCACCGCCACCGCGTCCTCCACATCCCAACACCACTAGCTCCGATAGTCGAGAAAAATGTATGTGTAAAAACATGCCACATTCCTCTAAAAATGCCATGAAAATGTCATTTTTACTTTTTAAAAATTGTCCAGCTTTCTATTCAAAATTGCCATCACGGTGTCAATTTTTAACTTGACATTCTTTTCCAACAATTGGAGGTGGCGCTGCTGGAAGGTAGCTGAGGTGGTGGTTAAAGCATGTATATTATTTATTTATTTATTTATTTATTTATTTATTAATATTTTAATTTTTTTAAGTTTTTTTTATGTTTTATTATTATTATTTAAAAAATCTTATTAAGAATGACAAGGGAAATGGTAGAATAGAAATAGTTAGTCCTATTTTGGGGCTTCAAATTTTAAGCTCCTATTATTACATTTTTACTTTTATTTAGTTCTATTTAGAGATATCTCTCAATTTATATTTCGTCATGATTTATACATACCCACTATATTATATTTTTGCATGATATACACATGCTAGTTGATAGAGTATATGGGCCTGGACCCCTTGGCCCACATACTCAAGTCAACTATAACCAGAGGAACACCCACGTGGCCCCCTTCGGCCAGTGGGTCCGCATCGGCCAGAAACTCAATCGGCCCAAGAGGCACGCATCGGCCCATGGACCGCATCGGCCATGGGACCGCATCGGCCAAAAGACACCGCATCGGCCAGACTTCGCCCCGGCAGAATGCATTTCTCTACTTTATTTACTAAGTGTTGTACACAGCCCATTAATGGCCCTATTTCGCCCAAAGAAGGCATGATTA